TATTTTAACTTTTTCGCCTTGGTCATTTTAATCTTCAAAAATAAATCCTGTATCATTTATTTATGCATGATGCTGTGTATCAAACCCAGGGCATCATACATACTAAGGATGTGCTTTACCTTGAAATTAACAACCTCTAGCCCATCAAGTTTCTTACAATCTTTGTACTTAGCATTTTATGGTAAGAATCTTCATCTCAATCTAATATTCATGTTTGATATGGTTTAATTGTGTGTACATGTATTTTATTTGCTTTACAAATGATTGTAGCAAAAATATATATATAATTTCATTTTTAACATAGCCTCCATTCTGCACCAAGTATGATGTTGTACCTTAATTGCTCTTTTGTAAGAGGACTTCTCTGGGTGCCCTTTTGTGTCTCTTAACATACACCTCAAAGACCTCGAGTCTTTTTCTGTCTGTAATCTGCCAAAACAGGTTGTAGATATGAAAAGGAGTTGCCCTTCCTGGTTACACATTCTGCCAGTTCCAGTCAAAAGAGACTCGAGTTAAAACACAGCACTCAGGTCGTGCCATCCTTGGGCTTGCCAGTGGACACCCATTCTGGAGGAACGCTCTGCTGGGATTCTGAGAGATGCTAACTCTGGGTGGGAGTTGGGAAGATGGATGACTCATCTTTACTTTTATTATCTCTTTGTCTTGATCTCTCTGTTATAAGGAACAGGGAGGTAATTAGAAGCTGGTCTCATCTCTTTCCTCACATAATGCTAAGTAAAAGCCAATGAATGGCCTTTCCTGCTCTTCTGAAGGATGGAAAATAAATGAGAAAAATGGATAGTTTAAGAGCATTTAGAACTTTTATCATACAACAGGGAAAGTAGATTTTTCCCTGCTCAGAACTTTTAGATGATTTGATCTTTATATCATATTCAAATGAAATATTTCATTATAATTTAGGTTTTTGAGACAGTCTCACTTTGTATGTAGCCCAGCCTGGCCTTGGACTCATGGTGATCCTCCTGCCACAGCCTCCTGAGTGGTGGAATTACAGGTATATGCCACCACTTCCCGCTCAGGATAATTCTTACCTCACTTAAGTATGAGGTATTGAAGTCATCGGGAGAGAACTGCACTGAGCTGAATGGATGAGTAAGTCAGTGAATGTACCAGATAATACAAACTCCATAACTGAAGACTGGAAATTTAAAAAGCATTTTTAAAAAACAGATGTGTATATCAGTTTTAACTTGACTGGATTAAGAGACTCCTGGAAAGGGCTGGGGATTTAGCTCAGTGGTTCTGCTGCCTGCTTGCAACTGCAAGGTCCTGAGTTCCATCCCCAGTACCAAAAAAAAAAACCCTCAGGAAGAGACCTCCTGGAAAGGTGATTGAGTTCCACGGGCATGGTAGTCATCAATGAGTGAGCCCACGGATGCTCCTAAATAAATACGCTTTTGGAGCTGGGTCACTGTGGGCATGCCTTTGGAATATACCACTGGGTCTTTCAATGGTGCTATTCCCTCCTTTCTGCTTCCTGGACACTATGAAGTAAATGAGCAGCTTCGCTCTACCACCCTCTTCCCACCACGATTTTTGTCTTGGAGCCAGCCAGCTGTGGGCTGAAATCTCTGAAACTTTAATAAGTTATGGGTGTCAGGTTATCTTTTTCCAGCGTTGAGAAAGCTAATACAGTACAGTTAAGAACCACTGAGTAGGGCCAGGGATATTTAGCTCAGTGGTACTGCCACCTGCCTCAGAAATGCAAGGTCCAAGTTCAATCCCCGGTACCAAAAAAAAAAAAAAGAACCACTGAGTAGAAAGGATTAACCTGATTTTTAGCTTCCTGAAATCTTTTCTCTTTTTTTGGTACCAGGGATCGAATTCAGGACCTTTCACTTGTGAGGCAGGCACAGGAACCACTGAGCTAAATCCCTGGCCCTCCTGAAATCTTTTCATTTGAAATTAGTCAGTACATTTCCTTTCAAAAGTTTAAGGCATGCCTTGGGCTACATAGTAGTTCGAGGCCACCCTGAACTATATAGCAGGACCCTGTCTCAGTCCCTCACTAAAATAACCAAGGTTTCCCCTGCTTCATTTTTTGATGTTTAAAAGAGATACAGCCAGGCTAGGGTTTTAGCTCAGTGGTTCCGTTGTCTGCCTCGCAAGCACAAGGTCCAGAGTTCGATCCCTGGTGCCACAAAAAAAAAAAAAAAAAGGTATAGCCAAATGCAGTAGTATATGCCTCTAATAACAGCACTCTGGGAGGCCAAGGCAGGGAAATCACAAGGTCAAGCCCATCCTGGATGATTTAGCGAAACACACACACAAAAAAGGTATAGGGCCGGGGATTTAGCTCAGTGGTTTCACCACCTGCTGCGCAAGCGCAAGGACCCGAGTTCGATCTCTGATACCAAGAAAAAAAAAAAGGTATAAATTTATATGAGAAATCTTATTGTAAGTGCAAAGAACTGAATTTGTGTTGCATGGTAAGCCCTTAAGTACATTTTGGTTAAGGTGGTATGGGGATGCTTTAAAAACCTTTTGAGCAAAAACACTATGATTGAAACTGGATAATAGTGCTGTTGGAAAAGAATGTCAAGTGCAAAATTCTTTAAGTAGGGGCTTCCAGACAGGTTGTAGGCATGGAGAACAGCACTGTTCATACAGTTTACCCAGCTAGCATGCTTGCGCTTGCTCCCCTGCTCCCTAGAGTCAGGGAGGTCACCAGCCTGTCCTCCACAGCAGCCTTCAGGGAAGCTGCCATTCTGGTGATGTGATCTCCATGTCACAGATTCAATATTATATTTTTCTGCAGGAAAAACCAGCCTTATTGTTTGGGGAACCTAGTAGACATTTGTATTTTGTCTGTTTTTTTGCAGTGCTAGGTATGCAACTCAGAGCTTCTCACATACCACTGAGCTGTACCCTCAGCCCTAAAAATTTTTTTGTTTTTTGTGGTTTTTTGGTACCAGTGATCGAACTCAGGACCTTGCGCTTTTGAGGCGGGCAGCAGAACCACTGAGCTAAATCCCCGGCCCTAGAAATTCTTGAAAGCACATGGAATATAAAGAGATCCAAGGGGGATCCTGTCTTCTTCACACTTTTAGCAGCTCAGAAACAGCTTTTAAAAAACAACATTCTGGGCCGGGGATTTAGCTCAGTGGTTTTGCCACCTACCTTGCAAGCGCAAGGGCCAGAGTTCAATCCCCGGTACCAAAAAA